AACGCGATCGTATATGTCCTATATTTCATTTAATATTTGATATTATCAAGTCGGATCAACACAGATATGTTTTATATGCTTATCTACACTACATATTAAAAGTTTACCCCCCGCTTCATATTTTTCATTTAAGTATAACTCCGTTGCTATTTATGTTAGAATCTTCATTTTTACATTAAACATTTTTGATTTTAATTCTTTATAAGTCCCCCTCATAGTATCATAGTGTAAAATCGTTTTTAAAGATTTTTGGATTTTAATAACGTGTGTCCGAATGGGACACGCGTTAAATATTGAACATTTTTTTAATAGAACAATTCTATTAAAAAATTAAATTAATAATATAATTATATTCTAAGTTTTGTCATACCAAAAGAACATACTTTAATATCTCCTAAAATTTTGTCATATCAAAAGAACATATTTTAATATCTCCTAAAGTTTTTATTACACTAATATCATGGAGTTTTTTGAATGAAACTGGACTGTTTGTAATTATTTGATCATTAGCTATTTTACAAAGTTCTAACCAAGTTGGTGAATGTAGACATTTAGAAACATAAACATAAGTTGGTTCTGAATGGTTCTCGATGATTACAATTTTTCCTTTAATTGGAATTTTATTAAGATTATATTTTATTATATTTTCATTATCTTCATAATAATCAAAAGCACAAAATATCACATTACATTTTTTTATTTTTTTATTTAATATATAGTTTTCTACTTCGTCTTGCATTTCGGTTTCTTGTAACTTATTATAATTATTTATAGATTCCATTCTTTTATTATAAATATCAATTCCTTTAACTAAGGTATTCAATTTCTTTAAAAATATTTTTTAATACACTATATTACATTTCGATTTTAATTATTAATATCATAAGTATTATGAAAAATATTTTGGGGGTGAAAATGTATTTAATAAGTTTTGCGAAAAATGTTTTTATTATTATTGCATTTCGATTTTTATTTTTAATAATTAAGTTTTGCGGAAAATATTTTTATTATTATTGCATTTCATAAGTTTTGCGAAAAATATTTTTATTATTATTGCATTTCAATTTTCTGATCTTTTTGCACATTGTTTTCTTTGTGATCTTTTACTGATATATTATGAGGTGCGCCAGGACTGGTACATATATACTACTGGTACCTATGATTAAGTATTAAATACTTAAATTCATTAGGTAACTACTAACTAGTTATTTACCAGGCAATCATTGTTGAACTAAGTAAAATTTACATTTTTTAAAAATTTGAAACATATTTTTCAAGATGAAGAATTGTTAGAAGATAATACAAATAATAACCCAATGAGTGAAGATTTGGAATTGGATCCTCTAGATGGCTTAGAAGATGATTTAGTGACTGTGATGTCAAACCAAAACATTGATTTTGAAGAACAAGCCTTAAAGCCTCTAAATGTGTTAATTCGTTGCTCTGTGCATACTTTACAACTTTGTGTAGAAGATGCACTTAAATCATCATCGGATCGAAAATATATTTCTAAAATGAGAGAGGTAGTTTATAAAAATTGTTTAAATATTTAAAATATCTGTAGTCTAATTATGAATTTTAAAATTGTGTGAATTATGATTATGGTTGCTCATAGATAGTGAAAAAACTAAGAACTCCAACAGTAATTCGAATGATAAAAGGTCTTCATCCAAAAGCTAAAAAGGCGATCATTGATGTGGAGACTCGATGGGGTAGTTCTTGTGATATGTTAAATCGTCTCTTAGAGTTAAAAGATGTATGTAAAGATGTCTCCTATACATTTAAAGAATTGGATGTAAGTGATGATCAATAGCAGAAAACAGAAATTTTAGTATGTTTTATCTTGTATTATTTAATTGCTTAACCTTATTTTTAAAATGTTTTACCTAGTTTGTTTCAAAAAGTTTTTATAGTATTTTTAACACAATGGTAATTTAAGTATTTAACTATAAATAATAAATATTAAATTTAATTATTTAAATATTGATAAATTTGACAGGTAAAAGCTTTATAGGTATTAGCTTTACCTGCTAATCAAGCCACAGTTCAACTTCAAAAAGAAGACCTTACTATTGGAGATTTCTATGGAATTTGGCTTAAGTGTTGCAGAGATACTAAGAAAGTAGGTTCAGGCTTTTCTAAGATTTTATCTACTTCAATGGAAAGAAGAGAAAAATTATTGTTGGATAATCCTATTTTTATAGCTGGTAAGTTTCAAATTACTATTTTTTTAAATACAAACTAAAAATAAAACCATTATTGTGATTTTGGATATTTAAACTGTTTTAGGTATCTATTTAGACCCAAGATTTCAATGTCTCCTTGATGATGACTCCAGGTATAAAGCAATTAATGCTTTAGTTGATGTGTGGAAGATGATTTTATGGTTAGATAAAAATTCAATGCCAATTTCAAATGATGAAATTATTGTATCTGCAAGTCATTGTGAAGTTGACAATCATAATTTGTCAAATGTTGAAGTTGATGATTTGGAAGATTTTATTCAAACTAAAACATGTATTTCTATACAAGAACAAAATGAAAGTGTTGAAGGGATACCAATTCGTTTGTTGTTACAAAGCTATGATAATGTTCAACGTTTACATCATTCCACGAGTATTAGACAGTATTGGCAGGATTTGAGATTGATTAAACCAGAGCTATTTAGATTAGCACAAGTAATCCTAAGTGTTTCTGTCACTCAAGTAAGTACTGAACATTTTTAGATTATATTAATAATTTTAGTCTTAACTTCTATTATTAATGTTATTCAATTTTAATTTATTTATATTAAATATTAATTATAATTTATAATTTAGAACAATAATCTATATATATAAAAATGGAGACAAAAATTCGAAATTGCATCAGTTGAGAACGGCTGGGCCGATTTTGCTCAAATTTTTTTTAAGATGTTCGTAATTTACATGTGAAGGTTTTTACGAAAGAAAATTTTTAAAAAGTCAACCGAATAATTAGAAAAACTGCAAAAACTATTTATTGATGTCTGTTATTTGAACTCGATATCGTTGTCTTTATTTACTCTATGGTGTATTATATTATATTGGTTGCTATTGGTTAATCGGGCATGTTTGTTGATTTGTATTATTATTTTTTGTAAATATATCTTATATAGGTATAAATGAATGACCTATGGGAAGAAGATACGCTAATTTAAAAAGGGTTAAATTTGGTTTTTTTTATTCATCGGATTTTAGTACGGCTAGGTTAGGTTAGGATTTATAGGTAGGTGGAATTGAGTAAAAACGTCAAACTTGGTATAACTTTGGTACTTTTTGAGTTAAATCATACACTTACGTACAAACAGCACGGGGTCCGCGATCTACCGCAGGTAAATTACCTATCTGATAATGTACTGCTGCAATTCAGAATTTTTATTCCGGGCAACAGAAAAGTTAAAATAAATCTAGAACATCATACACCGAATATTAAATAACGCATTGAACAATGTTTGAGTCATATAGAGTTGGTACATTTAACGGGAAACGAAGTGCACGGGATCAGCTAGTATAAGATATAAATTATAATTGTATCTACATATTAAATTACTATTGAATTATATTATATATTGAAGAAATAATTATAGTTTATTTAGGAAATTCACATTTCAAATAATTTATACTTTTTAGTTTTTTTTTTTAAAAAAACCAATAGATAAATAAATATTTATTTGTCAATATTATTTGATTTCAATTTAAAAATGTAAAAATGTAAAATAATTGATAATTATGTATCTATGTAGTTTGTATGCCTAGAACTATAGAAGAAAAATATATTATATAATGATTTTTATTTTTATTGTATGTAATTTTAGATTCTGAGCGGAGCGATGAATGTATTGGTTTTACAATGATGTATGTTTTTTTTTATATTTTTGTGTCTGTCATCACGTTTTAGGACAGTAAAAATGCTTGGATTTTCTTCATCAGTAGCTTTTCTGGTAGGAAAGTGAATCTAGTTGGTACTTTGGGGGGTCAAAAGTATAAATTTTCCAGTAGTTTTCACAAGCGCCGGGAAAAACAACATAAAAATTAAGGAAAAACGGGAATTTTTACGCAAAATCGATTTTCCAAAAAATCGAATTTGGTTTTTGGTGTAACTTTAAAACAAATGACCGTAGATACATGAAAATTTCACTGGTTGTTTATATTTGCATTTTCTATACACGATAACATTTTCAAAATATTTTGATTTATTTTGAACTGTTTAGGGACATTTTCATTTTTAATTTTTTTTTAGTTATTTTTCTAGAAATATCAATAAAATTTTATTTGTTGGTTAAAAAAACTTGTAAATTTAATAGAAGACTCCTAGTATATTGTTTCAAAGGCAGATGAAAAATATTAAAAATCGTTAGTCACAGTTTTTTTTTATAAGCATTTAAAGTTCAAAAATTGACAAAATATGGAAAAATCACGAAAATTAGCAAATTATTTTGAGTTAAGAATTCGCAAAAATTTTTCTTTTTAAATCTAAGATTTGAAAATGTAATACAAGATTACTCATAAGTTTGTCTACCTTTATCAATAAAAAAATTTCTACCGGACAGTCAAATTAAATTTTTATGAGCGTTTGAAATTCAAATTTTTACAACATTGGATGTTCACTCGATTTCTCATGTAGCGATTTCCTTATTTTGTTGTAATTCATAAACGAATAACTATAGATATATGAAAATTTCACTGAATGTTTATATTAGCATTTCCTATACACCATAACATTTTTGAAAATATTTTGACTCTTTTTGAGCTGTTTACGGACATTTTCAGTTTTCAATTTTTTTAGTTTTTTTTTTTATAATTGTCAATAAAATTTTATTTGGTGGGCCAAAAAGTCTGAAAATTGAATACAAGCTTTCTTATATATTGTTACAATATCAGTTGAAAAATTTTAAAAATACATAGGCACGATTTTTTTTTATAAGCATTTAAAGTTGGAATTTTGACAAAATTTATCAAAATCTCGAAAATAATCAATCGTTGGAATTAAAAAATTATAAAATGTTCAGTTTTTATAACTAAGAGTTGAAAATTTAAAACAAAGATTCTCTTAAATAATTCATACTGTAACCAAAAAATCTAAAAAATATATAAACACACTTATTTTTTACAGACATTTTAATTTCAAGTTTAGACAAAATTTCATATTTAAACCAAGAATTACGATTTTAGTTATTTTGTTGTGATTGTATAATATTATTCGTGGGTACTTGAAATTTCTAAAGTAATCTACTATATATATCTATGATAGTATCACGGTTTTTGTTGATGTATAACGCGTTATAAGTATCTAATGGATATTGTGATATGATTAGTTTGGAATTTATTATAGGTACCTATTATAGGTCAATTTTTTGTTTAATACCATAGATTTTTATATAATATGTCTTATACATAGACTGACATACCGTCACCGCTCAGAATCGTTTTTCTTATACAATGATATTATATCATTGAATTCAAATTTAATACCATCCATTATACAGTGACCCACTTGTAAACTACTATACAGCAGAGCGACACCCACTTGCCCACCTTTTTAATTTTGTACCTACTGGTTGACAATTCATAATATCTAAGAAATAAATTTTAATATATTGATAATACATGAGGTGGACATGAAAGTAACAAATTGTAGTTTTTACATTTGCATTTGTTTCTATCCACCCCATTTTATGATACATAATTATTATTTATTAATTATTAGAAAATACTAAAATAGAAATAACTATATACTATATAAGTGTCTGTTGAACGTTGTTTCTCGGGGTTAAAGTTTGTTTCATCGGATCTGCGCATTATGTCACTTACAACTTGTAAAAGACTTTGATATGTTCTACAACACTGCATTAACTTATTTATCTAATCATTTTGATTATGAATATTCGCCACTAAAATTTTTGGAACCACTTGGCTTAAAATCAAATTTGTTACTTTATCAAGATATTGCAAAAATAATTGAAGTATTTGGACTAGTTGATGTAATTTCTTTAGATGAAATATTTGAAGAATTTACAATTATCAAGCCTGCTATACCAACAGTTAGCTTCAAAAATAATTTAACTGTTTATGAAAAATGGTTAGAACTTTTATCAATTCAGAAATTAAAAAAATTTGAAATATTATTAGAATTTATTCTAAGTATTCCACCATCTAATTCTCATGTAGAGAGGGTTTTTTCGATGATGAAACTAAAATGGACAGATGTTAAAAATCGTTGTTCAGTGGACTTAATAAAAAACGAATTAATGATAACACTGAATATATTGCCTTCCACAAATAGTTCCTGTACTGATTTCGTGAACTTAGTGAAAGATGATACAGCTTTTTTGAATGCCGTGAAGAGCCAGAAAAAATACAATTGGAAAAATTAATAATTATTTACAATTTATAATTTATAATACTTTTTTTTTATTAAAAATTCCGTCTAAAATATTATATTTTTATTATTATTATTATTTTATTAAACATTATGTTTGTTATACAATTTATAATAATAAAGTATATACATATAGAGAGCAAATATATCCGTACTTATATAGTTATATCTTATATTATAATATGTTATGCCAGAAATGATTGCCTTTATAATATATTAAAACCTTAAAAAAATGTTCTCATATTGGAAAAAAGTCCCGATTTTTTTAACTGGATAGTTGGCAACCCTGCTTACAAGTGAGATGCTAGAAAAAATTATTATTATTCGATGCAATAAGATATTTGATACAATTAAATAATAATCATTTCGTTTTTAATATTTTGCTGTTTTAAGTTTTAATAATTAAATTTATTATTATTTGTATTTTGTTATTTTTTATTGTAAAAACTTCAAACTTAAAAATGCTAAGTATTCATTAATGTATATATGTACATATTCTATTGTTAAAAGTTTAAAACTTAAGAATTAAAAATGTTAATTTTTAAGAAATTATTAATTTAACAATGTATTCTTAAAATTTAAAACTTAAAAGTGTTAAGTATTTATTAAATAGATAAATAAAAATTTAAAAAGACCTGGATGCTAGAACATTGTTTTATTTTATTTTACAATATTCAATAATAGTCAAGATTATTAATACTAAATTGTGTTGTCTAACCTTTTTAATCAAAAATAAATATAATAAAAATATGTTTAGTCAAAATATTTAATAAACGAGAACTTTCTTCTGTAGAAAAAGGACTGAGTAGGTACTAAGTAATAAGTATTAATTTAATATGATTTTTAAATTTTTCTTCATTATGTTTACTTTAAAAATAAAATCCAATTACTATATCAAATTTGTATTGAAAATCTCATGTTAATTGATATACAACATGGTTTTTTCTTTGAACACCAGAATTAACCCTAAATAACCCTAATAAATTTACATTTAACCGTAACCAGGAAAGTGTATTAACCCGTAACACCCAAATTCAATAACACGAATTTTCTTTCAACACCCGAAACCCGAAAAAATTATATATTAATTTGATATATTCCGGTGCAAAGCCCTGCCTAAAACCAATATAATATTATGAATTATGAGGATGGTTAACTTATTTTTATTACATATTTGTATTTAGAGAACAATTTATAATTATTGACTTACCATTGTTATTAATGAAATTCCAAATTGGAATAGTATTAAGAAGAAATAAGAAATAATAATTATAGAGTAGAAAATGATTTATTAAAATATTGAATTATAATAATAATAATAACATTAATATATAATTTATATAACTTACGTTGTACAACTAAAGTTGAATATTACCGAAAATGTAATAAAGGAATAACAATAGAATTTGTATTGTTTAGAGGCAAATTCATCATTTTTGTTTTTAATTTATCAAACTTAAATGTCTGAAGTGGCCCAAGTCTAGAGGCTGCATGTTTACCTAATAATTTCGAAGAACATGGAGTATTAAAAAATTCTGTGAGTTTTTCATATTGTCTGCCAATGACTACTAAAGAATGATCGAATTTTGAAGTTGCAATTATCTCAATTAGAATTATGTCACCATTTTTTTTTATCATGAAACAATAAATTATCAGCATTGTTCAATTTTACTACAAACTTATCATTTTTCCAACCGGTATATTTTGTTTTACAAGTTTCTTGAAGTATAGGTCTCTCTTTATTGTTTCTATGAACATTTATATGAACATTTATAGAACCATTTTTTAAATTTAAACTCTTCTTAGACAGTAATACAATTCTAGATTCAGCATATCTACGGGCCAATTGTTGAAGTAGTTTTACACCACTTTTAATTTTTTTTTTTGAGAGAGGCTGCATAAAACTTTTAAAAGGGAATGCAGAAAAAGTATTTGATGATCCAAATGTTTGCACATCATCAGCTAAATGAAGCGTGATATGAATATTATAAGACATAAAGGTATTTCCATAAATTTCAGCAAATTGTGACATAAAATAAGTTAATAACTTTTTTGCGAATAAAATATATTCTTCAGATATATTATCTGTTGGCATAATTTTTATAGCAAAACACAAAACTATAAAATGGTTGTAAACTTTTTTCTCTAAAATCTAAAATTTCTATCTGAAAAACTACCATACGTCCATACCGGTAAGTAAATTTAGCTCTTTTTCTGCCTTGGTAACACGTTGCTTTACTTAAGTGGATATTAGGCCTAATAAGTAAACTCAATAAAGTGTATAAGTTGTATATACTCTATACTTATATATTATATTAATAGCAGAACTAATAAATATACACTACAATATTGAATATATAATTATGTGCATACCAGGTATATCTAATAATAAAATGTAATTGTATTATTTGATAATTATAAGGTAAATAATACCTAGGAAGTTTTAAATGTATTCAAGCAAACAAAAAAATATTTAAAAAGTATTAATTTTGATAAGTATAATTTAAAAAAACTAAAATTTGATAAAATAAGGATAATGTTTCAATCATACTAACCCAAATAATTGAATTAATATAGGAGAGCATTATGAACATGAAAACAATGTATATTTTAACCATTCATTAAAAAAAAAACCTAATATATACCACTCTAGTTGTTCTTTACAAGGGTACCTATGCAGAAGTGAAAAAAATGTAATAGGTAGTAATTATTCTTGATATAAAATATAAGCAAAACATATATATATATATATATATATATAATATATAAAATATTCTACTTTTCCTTTTGGCTACTACCTTTATTATGTATAGAAATGTTGGGAAATAACTATTAACTTAAGTTACAAGTTACTGTAACAAAATTATTTAGTAAGGAATCGTTATAGTAAATTAATTTTTTTTTTCACTTTTAATCTCGAATTTTTATAATCTATAAAAAAAAAGTATAATACGCATAATGGATGTTTTTTTTAATATAATATTTATTATTGAGGTAGCTAGGATAGTCGTCGTTAATATAATAATGTTTAACCGTTGAACGATAGAAGAACCGTAATAAAATACGCCTGTGCTCGATAATTGAACAGTACTTTTTTACAATCTAACACACAATATGAACATTGAACACAAATATAGGTTTCATAATATATAATATACCTATATTATATATATATTGTATACAACTCAGTTTTCACTTTAACATTTTACACCGTCAAATGTGTTTTGAACCTATACACAGGGTCGGGCGAGTAAGGCCACGCCGAGGGCCTACCGCCTTAAATGTTTATGTGAATAAAAATATTTGGGTATTCGTATTTTATGCTGCGTTAGTGCCCTTTTCCAAGAGCGTTTATGAAATGCATCTGGAAAAATACATGAGTAGGTACCCATTTAAACGCGCGTGAACGCGAGGTCTTGCCTCTGCTCGCGTTCGATAGCAATGAATTGCAGACAGGATGTTTTCACGGTAAGAAAAACGCGCGTCTCGGTTTAACAACTATCATATAATTTATGCAAAAAATGTTTAATATCAATTAGTGGGATTGGCATGATTGACAAAAGATGGAGAAAATCATGACTGTCAAATTTTATCTAATGCTAATATCTAATTGTTTTATTACGAAAATACAAATATAGAAAATCGATTTTTTTATTTTTTTATTTTTTAATTTCTTTACCAACTATGGATTCTTTCAAGAACGAATGTATTGACACTGAATTATTTATAAGTGATATGGAACACTCAAACTGCTGAATATAGCCAGAGAAATGCCTAGGCAAACGGCTGGGAAAATATAAGTAAAATATTTTATGAAAATGTTGATGATTGTAAGGTTCTAAATTATTATTATTATCAATAATTATCGTCATTAACGTTATCACTATTATTATATACGATGTGAGTATGTGACAGACTAGATGCACACAGTCCATATAGTCAGTTTGTTCCCACTTCCCAACAAGGGTCGCAGACAAAAGGAACAACTAGGTACCTACCTACTTTACTGTAATAAATTATATATCTACAATCTACGTAATAGAAGTGTTTATTTATTTACACGATAAACCTATAGCAGATAAAAATAACATTGGTAAGTACATTGTTACGTAACATGTAGTTATCACGATTGTTATCAGTCTTATCATTGTAAGGTTATGTACCATTGTACCAATGTCGCAACTTTGTTTTTTTTTTTATATACACAATCACATTTTTGCTCAAATGAATTATGAAATATACAGTCCACACACGATGAATAAAACCGATGACTTTATTCTTTTTTTTTGACAACATTTATGGTCCTTCGAGCCGGATCGGTTTTTTATTTTATCATACATGTACGTTCGGTAAAGTGCGTTCGTGTTGTAGAAGACCACCTACGTAGTTGTATTATTATTAACACGTAGTACTAATCAATACTTTATATTCAATGAACGGATATCAGGGTTATACGAATGATTGTGAAATTGTACAAAACATTATAGTCATAAGGAAAGTAACACAAGTATGTAATGCGAATATAAACTGTTTAATTATTATATGAATTCGGATATATAAGTACATTGTAAAGGGCAGTAGATCGAACAGTCTTATAACAAGCGTATGACTCGTACCTTATCATTGTCGATATGTGTGTGTTTATTTTAAAAATATACTTAATTAATTAACTAATTGTTATTTATTTTGAGTTACCTTCACTTTCTACAAAAACTCGTTGTAAGCCTACCTGGCTTATAACATAATTGGTGGCAGCGGTGCTCTTCAAACATAATATACTGTATACTATCTGCAGTAGTAATACAATAAGTATAATTGTTGAAGCGGACATTCAGAAGGTGAACAATTTTTTTCATTTACTACACGGACAAGGAGGTTCAGGTCAGGTGTGGCTTGTGTTAAGCCTGGTTCAACTCAGGAGTTGGTGGACAAAGGAGTGCAATCATAGGATAAGTCAGCAACAGAAAAGGAACAGTGGATACGGACAACAGAGGACAACAACGTGACAATATCAAACGCTGAATCAATCAAAGGGGAAGTACAATCAAGGCGTCATGTTGAAGTAAAAATTTTTTTTTTGTTATTGTTTATGTCCGACGATAGTCAAAGTAGCGATAATAGTAGTATCGAATCTAGCGATAGTAATTATCAAGTAACAGAATTATTTGAAATTGAAATAGTAGAAATGACGATTCCCAAATTAACTTATGAATCAGGGATTAAATTTATACCAAGGTACGGGGGAGAGGAAGGCGAATTAGGCAGTTTTATTAAATCATGTGAATATGTGATAAATAATGTAGTAGATAGTCTTCAACCATTAATTCTAGAAGGGATATTGGCAAAATTATCAGGTAGGGCCGATCAAGTAACTAGGTTTAAATCTATTGGTACATTTGATGAATTAAAAACCATTTTAACGGAGAATTTTGGAATATATCAAACAGTGAGTCAGTTGCAATTAGAATTAGCAGCATGTGTACAAACTAAGAATGAGGGAATAAAAGCATATTATGAAAAGGTCGAAGGTATTTGTTTTAAATTAATAGAGGCAATGGTATTAGAAAATCCAAAAAAAGCGGAAGAGACAGTGATAAACAAAATAGTGAAAAGGCAAGCATTAAATGTATTTGTAGCAGGACTGAGGGAACCGTATAATATATTAGTAAAGGCTCAGAGTAGGGATACACTAAGAGAAGCATATCAGGTAGCATTGGAAGAGGAAAAAGCGTTATTAGCTCAGGAACATAATAGGAAACTTTTTGTGAATAGCGACAAAGGAGTAAAACCAGGTGTTAAGTGTTTTAAGTGTAATAAAATAGGACATAAGAGCTTCCAGTGTTATAGTAAGAGTACAGGGCAAGGAAAAAATCAAAGTTACGAAAAGACGAATAGGGAAAGTGATAGAAAGAAGTGGGAAGATCAAGCGAAAATAACGTGTAATTATTGTAAGAAACCAGGACACGTAATGGCAAACTGTTATAAAATAAAAAATAGAAATAGGTACCAAGGTGAAAATAGTAATAACAGTAATGTAAGTAATGCACCGGTAGCGAACTCATTAACAGTCAGTGAGTATCAAGCGCGAGTGTTGACTATAATCGAAATGAAAAACGAATGTGTAAAGTGTGATGTACCATTGTTAAAAAATAATGTCGGAGAATTTTTAGTGGATAGTGGTGCTGATTTAAATTTGATTAAATTTTCGAAATTGAAGGGAGAAGTGAGAATGTTCCCAAGTAAGACGGTACAACTAAGAGGTATAAATGCGACACCAGTTTTAACATTAGGTAGAACAACATTAGAGTTAATAGCGGGTGACGTAAAACTATCATCAGAATTCGAAATAGTATTTGATGACTTTCCGATTTGTGTGGACGGTATAATAGGAAAAAAATTATTGAAGGAATATAAAATGTGCATTGACCTAGAGAGGAACGTGTTAGTAGTACCGGACAACAAAATTAATATTCCACCACGCGCGCAAACGATAGTGCCTATACGAGTGAATAAGTTATTACAAAACAAGTGTTTGGTAGTTCAAAGCCAACGCATTAATGAGGACGTGACAATTGGTAGTACAATAGGCAATGTAGAAAAAGAATATATGAAAGGAATAGTGTTGAATAATTCGGACGAGTGGCAGGAAATAAATGAATTAGAATTAGATAAATTGGAGTATGAAGAATATGAGGACTGTGAACAGGTGTTAATATGCAGCAACGAGAAAAATAGGATTGACTTACTATTAGACGCGTTAAGAGTAGATCATTTAAATACAGAAGAAAAAGAAACTATATACGAAGTGTGTTTTAAATACGCGGATTTATTTTTTTTAGAGGGGGATAAGCTATCGACAACGAGATCGATTAAGCATTCAATACCAGTCCCAGACGGAATTACACCGATAAATGTAAAACCATATAGGTTACCCAGAGCACAGCGAGAGGAAATTGATAGACAAATAAGAGAATTGGAAGAGAATAAAATTGTAGTAAAAGCCAATTCGGCTTGGAATGCACCGTTAATAGTTGTTCCAAAAAAAGAGGGACTATCAGGAGAAAAAAAGTATAGAGTATGTGTAGATTTTAGAAAATTAAATGAAGTAACGGTAGGCGATGTATTTCCTTTACCACAGATAACTGAAATTTTGGATGAATTGGGGAAATGTAAGTACTTTACAACCCTTGATTTGGCGGCAGGATATCATCAAATTGAACTTGATGAAAAAGATTCGGACAAAACAGGGTTCTCAACGGGGACAAATCATTACAAATTTTTACGATTACCATTTGGACTAAAAGGAGGACCTAGTACTTTTCAAAGGTTAATGAATAACGTATTGACAGGATTACAAGGGGTAGATGCATACGTTTACCTAGATGATATAATAATATTTGCACCAGATCTAAGGAGTCATAATGAAAAATTAGAAAAAGTGTTAAGTAAATTACGCGAACATAATTTAAGAATTCAACCGTCTAAATGTGAATTTTTAAGGAAGGAGGTGACATATTTGGGGCATATTATAACAGGTGATGGGGTGCGTCCAGATGAGAAAAAAATTGAAAGCGTAGTGAATTTTCCGCAGCCAAAGAACCAAAGGGAGTTAAAAGGATTTTTGGGATTAACAGGATTCTATAGGAAATTTATTAAGAATTATAGTCAAATAGCAAAACCTTTGACGGCATTATTAAAAAAGGATGTAGTATTCGTATGGAGCGATATGTGTCAGAAAGCTTTTAGTACCATGAAAGAAATATTAACGAGTAAACCTATACTACAGTACCCAAATTTTGAGGAAATGTTTATTTTAACGTGTGATGCTTCGGGACAGGCAATTGGGTCAGTACTTTCACAAATGAGTGCTGGGAGAGATCTCCCTATTGCGTATGCATCTCGAGTATTAAATAGCGCCGAACAGCGGTATAGTACTACGGAAAGAGAATGTCTAGCAATAGTGTGGAGTGTGAAACACTTCCGCCCTTATTTATGGGGTGCTAAATTCAGGGTAGTGACAGATCACAAACCATTAACCTGGCTATTTAATGTCAAAGATCCCGGGTCGAGATTAATTCGTTGGAGATTAAAATTAGAGGAGTATGACTATGAGATAGTTTATAAAAAAGGAACGGAAAATCAAAATGCTGATGCATTGAGTCGAATACTAATAGCAGCTAATGAGGAGGAAATAACGTACGATAGTTTTAATCAAGCGTTAGCTAGTAAAAAAATAGTAAATAAAAACATAGAAGAAGTAAAAGGGACACTATTAGAAGCGGGTGAGGATTACCACATAGGGTTACCAGTAACAGGGGATTTATCGATTAGAGGTAAATTAGCTATGGATTTTTTATACATGGCAAAACAATTTAATATTCAGGAGGAAAAACAAAAGGAACATGAAATAGGGCAAATTATAAAAATAAGTGGTTGTGAAGATAGGAAGATATTTTTTTTCATTATTGCAGAGAAATACCCATTAGTGCCAAGTTATGAACAATTATTTGAAATCTTATTAAAGGTAAAAGTATTTTGTGTGGAGTATGATATAGAAAAGTTAGCAATTCCACGTATAGATTACGAGACTTGTAACCTAAATTTTGAAATCGTTACGGCAATGATAAAAATGATTTTTTACGACACAGTTATAAAGATACAAATTTTTTTAGATAATACGGACTATAATCAAACGTTTCCAAGCGAGGAAAAATTACAAATTATTCAGGAATTTCATGAGAATAAATTAGGTGGACATTTAGGGGTAGCCCGCACAGTCAAAAGAATTAAATTAAACTTTAATTGGAAGGGGTTAAAATCGGAAGTAAAAAAATATATTAAGAATTGCGAATTATGTCAAAAAAATAAAGAAAGTAATAGGAAAACTAAGCAACCGTTAATAATTACAACAACGGCTACGAGGCCGTTTGAAAAAATATTCATGGATATAGTAGGACCATTATTAAAAACGATTAATAACAAGGAGTATTTGTTAACCATTCAAGATGATTTAACCAAATTTAGTTTAGCGATACCCTTAGAAACAACGGATGCGAATACTATTTCAAAACATTTCGTAGAACAGGTGATTTGTACATACGGGATACCGAGTTCCATACTAACCGATCAAGGGCAAAATTTTATGAGTAAAGTATTTGCTAACGTGTGCAAATTACTACAGGTAAAAAAAATTCACACTACGGCATACCACCCGGAGGGGAACGGGGCATTGGAAAGGTCACACAGGACGCTAAAAGAATATTTAAGGAGTTTTGTAAATAAAAAATTAAACGATTGGGATGAGTTAATATCGTATGCTATGTATACTTATAATACGTCGATTCATACTAGTACAAACTATACACCGTTTGAACTAATGTATGGTTATCCGCCGCGAATACCTAATTCATTTTCGAAGCCGGTAGAACCGCAATACAATTATGACGACTATTCATTCATGATGAAACGACGAATGCAGGAGTGTCACGAGGTGGCACGTGGTACTATAATAATAAATAAAAATAAAAGCAAGGATAATTACGATAAAACGATGAATCCATTAACTAAAGGATCATGTAAAAAAATATTACTGAAGAATAATCAGATGAAAAATAAATTAGCATCTAAATGGGAAGGCCCATATGAAGTAGTAGAGTGGCATGACAATGAGAACATAACAATACGGAAAAACAATAAAAATATACGTGTTCACATTAACAATGTGAAAGCATTTGATGAGTAAATATTAAATTAGAATTTTGTTTGTTATTTAGGTTAGTTTTGGCAACTTCATTAGTATTAGATATCATATTGGCAGACAGTACATACAATATATCTCAAGTACCAAATACTTCAGGTTTATATTACGAGAATGAAGGACAATTAAAATTAACAAATATAAATTGGAATATAATAACTTCGGTAAATTTAACTAATTATGATTTAAGAATAACTACGTTAAAACAATATTTTTTAATAATTGAGGTAGTATGTAGAAACGTAACAAAAGTAATAAAAAATGCTAAGTGTAATGATGTGAATACTACAATAAACTCATTACTAGAGGAAGTAGAAAAAAGGAAAAATCAGTATTTTCTCATGTTAGGAACTACTCCCTCATCACGAAAAAAAAGGGGTTGGTTTAATTTTGTTGGGGATATGTATAAACAATTATATGGTACTCTAACAGAGGAAGATGCGGATAAATTTTCTACTCAAATTTCGGAATTACATTCAAGTAATTATAAAGTATTAAGCATTATAAAAGAACAAATTTATGCAGTTAAGTCAAATGTAGAACTTTATAATAATACATTTTTTAATATAAATAAAGAAAAAATATTATTAAATGAAAATTTTGGAAAAATAGAAAACCAATTAAAAAATATGAATGAATTAATTATGGATATAGAGTTAGAACAATTAGTAGAACAACAAATAATATTATTTAATTTAATGATAAGTCAGGTATTATTTGAAGTAGATTTATTAGGAGAGATTGTAACAGCAGCACAAGGGGGCGTTATTCATGCTAGTGTTTTAACACCGAAAGATATTTTGGAACAATTAAAAAAAATCGAAAACGATATACCTAAACATCAGAGATTACCAGTTCCACTGGACATAATAGGAGCTCATACATTATTAAGTATAGCCGATGTAGTATGTATATATAAAAATAAAACTTTAATATTTTTGATAAGAATACCTTTAATTGATAATTACGAATTTACATTATACAATTTAATACCATTACCAGTAAGTGGAAATAACGATCCATTACATATGTACATTAACCCAAAAATGGACTATTTAGCTATAAGTAAAGATTATGAAAATTACATTTCGTATAGAACAGAGGAATTAAATAAATGTAGACAAACACCAAATTATAAATTATGTGCAGGAGGACAAGCAATATATAATAGACATGAAAGAACAGTGTGTGAGGTAAAGTTACTATTGGAACCAGTAGAAATACCAAAAACATGTCATGTACGACATATTACGTTAGTAGAGAATATATTTCATAAATTAAAATTTAAAAACGCATGGATATATTCGGTCTCAAGAGAAAATATTATATTAGACTGTGAGGAAGCAAAAGCAAGTATGAAAATTAATTTAACAGGGACAGGGATAATTTCAATAAGGGAGGATTGTAGGATTTTTACATCTGATTCAGTCCTAATACCAATAAAACATTTGTCAACTAATAGGAATATAGATATAGTGCCGTGGTCTAAAATACCAAAAACATTATTCAACATTAAAAATTATACGAAACTCGAAGATTTAAAATTGGAAAAATCACGCGAAAATGTATATAAATCTACTAATGATATATCACAATCGCTAGATGAGATAGACAATTTAGTAGATATAGAAATTAGATATAAGGAGAAGGAAATTATACGAACTATATACCAATATTTATATTATATAATTGCATTTGTAATACTAATATTAAGCTATTATATATATAAAAATTGTAAAACTAATAATAGAAGTAACATACATATAGTTAACAGGAGAGAATTAATACCAATAACCACTAGAGTTTAAGAAAATTGTAAGGGCGAAAGATTATTCTTATTGAAGTATAATCCTTCGTCTGGTAGGGGAGGTGTAGAAGACCACCTACGTAGTTGTATTATTATTAACACGTAGTACTAATCAATACTTTATATTCAATGAACGGATATCAGGGTTATACGAATGATTGTGAAATTGTACAAAACATTATAGTCATAAGGAAAGTAACACAAGTATGTAATGCGAATATAAACTGTTTAATTATTATATGAATTCGGATATATAAGTACATTGTAAAGGGCAGTAGATCGAACAGTCTTATAACAAGCGTATGACTCGTACCTTATCATTGTCGATATGTGTGTGTTTATTTTAAAAATATACTTAATTAATTAACTAATTGTTATTTATTTTGAGTTACCTTCACTTTCTACAAAAACTCGTTGTAAGCCTACCTGGCTTATAACAGTGTCATAAAGTGCGTTCGCGAAGTTTGGTTTTGCGACTACCTAAGTCATTACATAATTTAGCTGTAAGCACGTGCAAACCACAGGTACCTCATGGACAAACTACGTCGCGTTTTAAATAATAAAAGAAAATTAATAGAGAAGAAGCACAAGTCAAACACATTTGAAGTGCTGAGTACATACAACACTAATGAAATCACTACACAAATTGAGTTATTAGAAAATGCGTTCAACACATATGTTAAGACACATGATGAATTAGCTCAAGAGCTTGAGGAGAATAGTGAAGTAGACAGTCTCATTGACCAGTTTGAGAACGTGTCAAGTACATACATGAGAGTGAAAGCGAATCTCAAAAATATGATATCTGAAAGGAATCCAACAGAGGTACGTGACATGAAAAAATACATCAAACTACCTCCAATAAACCTACCACAGTTCAGTGGTAAGTTGGAGGAATGGTATACCTTTAAAGACCAGTTTGAAGCTATGGTACATAATAATCAAAACATTGATAATACACAAAGGATGCATCATCTGAGGAGTAGCTTGACCGGGCAAGCAGCATCAGTCATATCATCAATGTCATCTGATGCTCATAGTTATATAGAAGCATGGAATCTGATCAAAGGTTGGTTTGACAACAAACATCTAGTGTTTCCAACACATTTACATTGCTTGTTCACACAACCAGTCGTGCAAGCCGAAGCACCGAACATGTTGAAAACGTTGATCGACACAACTAACAATCACATACGAGCATTGGAGACATTGGGACGCCCTGTTGATCATTGGGATGACGTAATAGTACATACAGTAGCAACTAAACTGCCACCTGATATACGTAAGACCTGGGAAATTGAGTCAGCAGGACAGGCAGATTTTCCAACGTGGAAAACATTAAGCGCATTTGTGGAAGGGCGCATACACGCACTGGAGGTCATGCAGTTTCGACAAGGATCTAGTGGTAAGATTAAACAGTTATATAATAAAACTGCTGTCCATGCAGTCGTGGCGCAGAAAGAAGTAAAAACCAAATGTCAGATTTGTTCACAACCTCATAGCATTTACCAGTGTGAAATGTTTATGAAAGCATCGGTTAGTGAGCGACAACTTATGGTAAAAAAATCACAATTGTGCTTGAACTGTCTACGTGTGTCTACGTGTGGGGCATTCACGTTCAGTCTGCTCCATGGATAAAGTGTGTAAAATGTGTGGTTTCAAACATCATACATTATTACACAATGTAACAGCCAAACAACATTTGTCAGAAGAAGATCCAGGATCCACATCAAAAACTACTGTCATTAATGAAACAGTAAGTGCCACAACAATCATAGATACTACCGAGGCGGTCGTTGAACATGGGATGCCACGCTCTCCAGCAGTGTCATCCGTACTTCTTTCCACTGCACTTGTCCAAGTACATGGGTCAAACGGTAGGACAGAACTATGTAGAGCGTTGCTAGACTCAGCCTCACAATCCCACTTCATAACAAGCAGCTTGGCCACCAGACTAGGACTACGACGTGTCAACTGCCCTGTAACGGTAGAAGGCATTTCAGACGCATCTACCAAGATGTCTGAGATGACATTTCTGAGTGTGTCGTCTCGGATATCCGACACAAATTATAGGTTGACTGCCATAGTCACACCTCGGGTCATCGTGGATTTACCCACTAAGAGATGCAGCGTGGATACATGGACACACTTTAAAGATGTCTCTCTGGCAGATCCTAACTTCCATGTACCTGGACGCATTGATCTATTAATAGGAGCTGAAGTATTTATGGACTGCATAAAAAACGGTAAGATCAGTGGACCTGCAAATACACCCACACTGCAGAACTCCAAATTTGGCTGGATTGTTTATGGCACTACTGAAATGCAATCAAGTCAACAGACACAATTGCCAAGTACAGCTAGCCGTGTGGTCACTAGTTGTGCCATTGCATCGTTGGACAGAACATTAAGAAATTTTTGGGAACTGGAAGAGGTGCCACGACTATCCACGATGTCAGCTGAAGAAAAAATGTGTGAAGAACACTATCAGAACACACACACAAGGGACAGCAGAGGACGATATGTACTACAGTTGCCTTTTAAGAAAGATATACCTAGTAACAATAACTCATACTTAAATGCACTTCGACGCTTAAACCAAGTGGAGGCTTTCTTGTCCAAACACACAGACATCAGTATTCAATACAAGGAGTTTATGCGAGAATATCAAGATTCAAATCACATGGAAAAAGTACTACCACATGACGAGCACCAACCAGTGATTTACATACCTCATCACCACATCTGCCGGCCAACGAGTACCACTACAAAACTTAGAGTGGTTGTTGATGGGTCCAGTATCATGGACAGTGGTCTGGAATTAAATGACTATCTACTAAAGGGACCTAAACTCCAAAAGGATATTATTTGTATTTTAATAAATTTTCGGTTTTCTAGGTATGTCTTCAGTGCCAATATAAAGCAAATGTTTCGACAGATGCTCATACATCATAAGCATCGTCCATACCAGTGCATACTCTGGCGCAATGAGCCCACTGGACCAGTTATACCGTACCGTTTAAACACAGTCACATACGGGATGGTGACGTCACCGTATCAAGCCCTTCGCACGTTGAGACAACTATCTGAGGATGAAGAGGCCATCTATCCAGTCGCGTCCAAAGTGTTGAAACGTGATTTTTATGTGGATGAGGTGATGACCGGTATGGATACAACCGACCAATTATTATGTCTTCAACAGGAGTTGAATAGTCTACTGGAACGTGGTGGATTTAAGCTACGGAAGTGGGCCAGTAATTTTCCTGCCATTCTAGAGAAAGTACCATTGGAGCATCGCGTCACACATCCCCCTCTACACAACGATTCGGATACGGCCGTCAAATTGTTGGGTGTTTCCTGGAATACCACTAAAGATACATTTTCTATACAAGCCCGTGACATGGAAGCGAGTGGACCTGTCACTAAACGACAGATATTATCTGATATTGCACGCATTTATGATCCCTGTGGTTGGCTTTCACCCTTGATCGTCGTAGCCAAGCTTTTGTTACAACAACTTTGGAAGGAACAGGTCAGCTGGGATGATAAGGTATCAGAAGAACTTGCTGCTGCCTGGCAGTCACATCGTTTGTCATACAAGCATTTAGTAGCCTTTGATATACTGCGTTATGTCAACACATCAATAGATTCTGTCACATTATATGAAATACATGGCTTTTGTGACAGCTCTGAAAAAGCTTATGGTGCTGCTATTTATGTTGTCACCAAGTCCACAGTTCTAACTTCATCCCTACTGATGTCTAAGACCAGAGTTGCCCCCCTAAAGAAGATTTCCATTCCACGTCTGGAATTGTGCAGTGCTCTGCTTTTGGCTTAACTCATACAAGCGCTTGTCCCGTCATTAAACATCAAGGTTGACAGTATACATTTATGGAGTGATTCGATGGTAGCTCTTCACTGGATTACGGGAGAACCGTTTCGCTGGACTACATTTGTGGCAAATAGTGTGACCCAAATCCAACAAATGGTGCCAACTGCCATATGGCGATATGTAGCTTCTGAAGATAACCCAGCAGATGTAGCATCTCGTGGCCTTACAGGTGCTGAACTGACTACGTGTGGTCTGTGGTGGCAGGGACCGGCCTGGTTAATCAAAGAAACCAGCTGGCCACCTTCAACACTCAATTCTCACATCCCTACCTGAAGAACGGGACACAAATACACAAGTAGCGTTACCCACCGTGTTAGTAACGGATTTATTATTACATCAGTCTAATTTAGAACGTTCATTAAGAGTTACATCTTATGTGTTCCGTTTCATAAGAACCCCCCCCCCCCCCCCCCCGAAATTTTTCTGATGTTTTTACAAATTCTACGTAGGAAAAAAATGTTAATCTTGCACACGCGAAACGGCTGATTGATATGAAATATTAATATTATTCGTATCCATAGACGATAGACATCGTACTCAGTATAAGGTATTATCACGATTATAAAGAACAGGTTATGCGTCGGTATAAGGTTTATATGGCACAACCGCGGTCAGAAATTGTTACGGTGATATAGTTCGGATATTTACCACTAGGTAGGCGCTGCTAGTTAACCGGGCTCTAAACGAATTGTTCGTTGTCGTCACAAATATAAATTATAAATCATCTATTGTGATTTGTGAAGACGAATCGTATAATATAATATTATTAATATTTAATATTATTGTCATAGTGGGGTCATACGTCTGACATACGTTATTATATTATTTATTTCCGAATTATCGAAACATGCCATCTTCTTGCTGTTTTGTGTTTTGTACGACAGGATATAAATCAAACCCAGAAAAAGTTCACTGTTTCACTTTCCTAAAAATGAAATTTTGAGGGAAAAATCTATTCCTCGTGCTAATCTTGTTGTCAAATCAAAGACAGTGATTTGTGAAAAACATTTTACACCTGATTAAATTGTTAGAACTTGGGAATCTGGTTCTGGTGCTTCAAAATTCACGGTATTACCTAGCTACTGTAACTTATCCTTTGTTTAATGAATCTTTTTTTATATAAAAATGTCTTAAACGTTTTTATAGATAAATTTAAAACGAGCAAAGCTTGCTTATGATGCTGTTCCAAGTATATTTCCGGGTCCAAAATATTTGTCAAACCCAGTGAAAAAAAGGAAATTACCATCTGATATGTAGAGTTGATTTGATTAAATTAATTTAATCCAATAAACTCTAGTTTTGGCACTACATTAGGGCTCGAATTGGTATATGTAAATCTAATATATATAAATGTACTTTTTAAAAATGTACCTATTTACTTTGTAACACACAGAATAACGTTATACTTTTAAATACTAAAAAACACAATGATATACATACACTTTCTAACTCCTGGTGCCTAATGTAAGTGACCACATAACTGATTATTGAGATATAGTTTTTATCGTCACCGAATAATTATTATTCATTTGTGAAAATTATGATCTAGCCCACCCTCCCCACAATTAAGTCTTTAGAACTGGCCCCTATTGTAGTGAATTTAGTTATATTTTTCCATTTCAAAATTATGAAGAACATTTTATTAAATTACTAGGCAATAGGCATTTTTCAAACATTGTAAAACCACTAAAAAAAATAAACAATAATGTTAAATAATTTAAAATTTATCAAAATATTTTTAAAACACCATTGCATATCTCTTAAAAAATTATATTATAATTAATAATAATAATTCAATTAGGTTGATGAAAAATAAATTAATATTATCAAAGTTTGTATACATTGTTAGTAGGGCCGAAATAAAAAAAGGGAGGTCTAAAAATACAGAAGGCTACACCCAAAATGCAGGTCTATGAATTACCTATGAATAAAACGCTAATATTAAAACAAAAGGTTTATCAATTTATTAATTAAAAAATTAGTTTTAACATGGTTTGTAATTTGTATAGGAAAATGTTAATATGTAACACGGATGACTTGCAGCGCTCGGCGGTTTTAAGAACTACACCGCCGTAACAAAATCTGACCGAAAATATTCCTTCCGACGCATAACCTGTTCTTTATAATCGTGGGTATTATGTTCATATCACGGTTGCAGTTAGTTTATGGTTGTAAATATATAACCGTGATTCGTTCGTATTATAATTGATAACAATGATATAACATGAATTCCGTGATATAACATGAGTTACGACGAATGGATCTTCGCAGGAAAAAATTTTTTGTGTCCGTGTATAATATTGCCTACATTTAGTCCCTTTTTTGCAGTTATCAAAATGTGATAACATTGATAAACCGATAACATAATTTTCATTATAAATTATTATATTATATTTTATTATATTAATTATAATTAAAATAGTTAAATACATTAATAGTTAGTAAGTTATTAAAAAACACAATATCGTAATTTAAAATTTAAAAATACACTATTCATTGAGAATACAGTATAAATGTACAACCTATTTACGTGGAACATTGTTTTAAATTTTCAATCTTTAGCTATAAAAGTTAAATTATATAATACAATTTTAAATTTGATAAATATTTTCAAAATTCGAACTAATACCCAGATAGCAATTGTGTAATGATATTATTATTATTACAGTACACAGAAAAACATATTTTAAAACATTGCAATAAAATTATTGAATTACTTACAAACGAATCAAAACCTATGCAAACA